AGACGTGTGTGGAATATTTTTTTCATCGCGCTTATTTATCTTCCGAGCCCGGGGTTAGCGGGGGCATCCGGGGGCCATCGGGGGCAAGGAGGGGGGCCCGGGGGGGGGGGCGTTTTCGAGACTAAGTGACTTCCATTTCCTCTGTGACACGAGTTGGGCTCCGATTTGCGGGGCTGTGTCGTTCGCAACATCGCGTCTGAGCCATCTGCCCTGAGCCCCGGAGTCGGTGGAGTTACCAGCTTTTGAAAAGGTGCTCGACTCAAAAGTGGTTAATTTTTAATTGGAAGGAGGAAATTCGAAACGTCCTAACCACCGTCGGGCGTTCCTAAGATTGCGTACGGTGTCTCTCGCTGTAATATCGTCTGAATGTCTTTGCTTCGTGAAATTTTCATGCAAGAGTTTTTTCTGATGGGGTCAGTTCGTCGCACACAACGTCAAATCTCGGAACGTACCTCCATTCCAAAGTTGTAAAATTGACTCGGAAAATACAATTATTCAAAGGAATACAAATGTGCAATTTTTGTCCAGATTTTGTCTTATTTTTGCATGAGATCAGAAGAAAAATCAGTAAAATTTTCAGTTAGAAATTGAATTTAATTGAAAAGTTTCGTCTGAAGGGGTCAGTTTGTTACACACAAAGTCGTTTCTTGGACGAAGAATCGTAATTCTATTCCAAAGTTGCAAAATTTACTCGAAAAGCTCAGTTTTTCACAAGAATGCTCCAATGCAAATTTCGTCCAGATTTTGTCTTATTTTTGCATGAGATCAGAAGAAAAATCAGTGAAATTTTTAGTTGAAAATGCCCAAGATTCGCCGGGGGGATTTCAATTGGTGAGGGGAAGTTTGGCAATAACGAAATATGGATACATTTTTTTGCGAGGGAAACACGGTTGGAACCTCGAGTGACACCATCATAACCAGTAACCATAATATTCACCACCACGGTGAATGACGTTATGCGCCAGGATTTCTGAAGGGCAATATATCCGTTACTATGGTACATAGCAATTTAGCTCATCGACAGATCTTAAATGTTTGCTAATTTATGAACTGGAGCCATCAAAACAAAACTCTATTGCCAGCGCAACGGACTTATGCGTTAGAGTACAGGTGTGGACAAAACCGATTTGGGGTCAAAATGATACATTTTCAGATCTCGTAATATCTCGAGAAAAATGTATGATTTATCTTTTTAAAATATTGAAATGCTCTCTAAGAAACGATGTCTGCAATCTTTGTGCCAAATGAATTACATTTTGCAATGTGAAACTAATATTTTTGGCTCATTGTAGAAACCATATACGTGCCTCTTATACTTGTACCCTATACATAGGTTTCCTTTAGCATGAGCCGGATATTATGATTCCTAAGTGCAAAATGTAGTCCAGATAATGCATAACAAAGTCCTCAAGTCCTGACATAGTCACTACATTCCCAAAACCCCTCACCTACCGCCACATTAAGCCCCGTTTTGATGGATTTCATTAAACTTGTTAAAAATGCATATTTTGTAGATATTTCACGGAGAAAAAAACCTCGTGAGTGGGACCCGAAGTTTAGGTCATATGGATCTCTGAAGTTTTCGGATTGAGCATCTGAGCACTTTAGGTCCAGCTGCTGAGGTTCGGATCACACATCTGAAACTTCAGTTCTTACATCTGAAGTACTTCAGATGTGAGAACCGAAGTTTTTCGGGTGTGAGAACCGAAGTTTTTCGGGTGTGAGAACCGAAGTTTTTTGGGTGTGAGAACCGAAGTTTTTTGGATGTGAAAACCGTAGCACTTCAGGTGTAAGAACTGAAGTTTCAAATGTGTGATCCAAACCTCAGCAGCTGGACCTAAAGTGTTCAGATGCTCAATCCGAAAACTTCAGATATCCATATGACCTAAACTTCTGGTCCCACGCTGGGAGTTTTTTTCTCCGTGTTGGTTCCTGCTGTGTCTAGAGCTCTATTAGCGTGACAGAGCAGGCTATGTGAAGCCAAGTAATTTGCTGCATTCGGTTGGACGAAGTACCAGGCATCGAAACCCGGAAGAGTGGAGGCATGGATCCGGGCAGATAAAGGGTTTTTTTCTGAAATCCTCATGTAAATAGAGCCGTTGCGAGCTTGTTTGAGTTGAAATCCGGCCGGAGAATTACGAACGTTGGTAACTGAAAATGAGTGGTGAACTCCATGAAGCAGTTCATATTGATCGATTCGCTGGAGGATTTTTATTTGGGAACGTGCTTACTTGAATAATGAGGACGAGTGAATAATGAAAAGGAGAGAAAAGTTAAAATGTGGAAGCGCATTAGAATTCAAACGCGGGCCCAGGGATACCGGGTCAAATCGTAGTTTAAACTTGAGAACTACGTGCAAGTCATTTTGATGATAGAACAACCTGGTTAATGCAAGGGGTAATTAAATCTCGGTTCCCTACCCAACTTCCATTAGCACGCGCCTTGAATGCATTTTTTACGTTTAGCCCTCGTGCCTCTCTCCCACTGCAATGCTCTTTGTTCCCCCTAAGTCTCTCAGATTAGGGCGTCTTACTTTTCGTGCTGGAGCCGAGCTCAGAATTTTATTTTTCCAGTGAATTGTCGTCTTCTATGCTCCCGAACTAAGAAAAAACCCCAAATCGTCCTTTCCCACGCAAAAGAACGTAATTTTATTTGAAAGTTGTCAAATTTTTCCTCGCATAGAGCCCATTTTTACCAGGGAAATCTTGGGCACCTTTGACTGAAAATTTCACTGATTTTCCTCCTGAGTTCATGAATAAATCAGCAAAATTGCACTGGTACAATCTTGTAAAAAAGTAAATTGTTTAAGTTGATTTTGCAACCTTGGGATGTACATTTCTCGTTCAGACTTGTTCCAAAACAAGACGAATTGTATTGTTTCAACGGCGATTTCATCTGAAGAGATCAAATAAATGAAGAAAAAAAGTCGCAGGAAAATAGCAGTCGCCGGGAAATTGCAATCTATTCGTGTTAAATCAACACATTAAAAAAATTTAAAGTGAAAAAACGAGATAGGAAGTAGTGATAATTTTGCTTTGAATTCAAAAATACGCTGCCCCCTTGTTCTTGAATGCATGGTACCAGCTAGCATACTCGCGCGTTCGTGAAATGGGTTCACTAATCTGAGTTGGGTTTGGTTCGGTTAAGCAACTAAACTAACTCCTTGGCAAAGCGGAAAGTATCGCTGAATTTGAAGGCGTTCCAAGCCGAGGTCGTGCCTTGCAAATCTTCGCCAAAGAAACCTTTACTATATCGATGTTATTGCAATTGCAATTTGACGAATTGACAAGTACGGAGCTTGCAAATTGCCGGCGATTGCTGACTGCCTGTGACACATGCATGCCAGGGCTCAAGTCACAATAGATATAGTTTCTTTCGATAAATACTTTCAGCTATGGGAGGAAATAGATGCTCCGTCTGTGGAGGAATCCAACAGCTAGTGGACGCACATGGCGCTCTGTTGTTTTTATGAGAGTGTCTCTTGGATCATCTCAATGGAGAATATTCGAGGCAGAAAACCCGGAGCCGAACCCTCGGTGCGCCCCCCCCCCCCCCCCNGATCTGGATCTGCATTCAGAAATCCTCTCACGGACCAAAGAGAGGAGGGTGCGCGGCGCCGCGGGAGGGGCGCGCGGGGTGGCCGCTCGAGAACTTTTCCAGCATTAATGCACCGATCCTCATTCCAGGGCAATAATGGATGTGACGTGTCCTCATGGGTCACTCGCCATCTCAACCGCCAGAGAGCGTTGGCGGTGCAAAAACACCGAGTACCTACCCAAAAGTTGCCGTTATACTGCCGTGCCAAGGAAGAACGCCGTAAGAACTGTCGAGAGTTGCCACATTTCTTTCTATGAAATGTTTATTTTTGAGAAAGTTATGAATATTTTCCTTTGAAATTTTCAGGAATTTTAGGTGAAATTTCATACAAAATAATCTGAAAAATCGGAAGGTCGATATACACAAATTTACCAGGAAATTAGTGTTTTATCAAAGGAAATTTGGCAACGTCAGAAGGTTCATACAGCGTTTTTCCTTAGTACGGCAGAATAGTAAAGAGAGCCGTAACTCGTCACCTTCCGCTCAAAGTATCACAATTGCCATGCGACGTCTCAAAATTTCCGCCACCATTATATTTTTCTAAGCTTTCTTGCTCAATTTCTCTGTAAAAAATAAAATGGCGGCGGAAATTTTGAAACGTCACGTGGAACTTGCAATACTTCGGCTGAAAGGTGACAAACTCTTTTCGAAATCGAGTTTCCTTCATTTGTGTGACCTCTTTCAGATGAAACCGCCGTTGAAACAACTGAATTTGTCTTATTTGTATGAAAATAATGACGTGTTCGATGGCTAAAGTGCTAAACCACTTATCTCCATTACGATGTTTCAAAATCACTGCTCGTATTACATTTTTTCGGAGGGAATCAAGTCAGTGTTATAGTTTGAAATTTATGCGGAATATTCTGCTGGTAGGGAAAAAAATCGAAGAAAATTTCAAAAAATCAACTTATCCCACGGCCGAAGGAGAGTTGACCAGTTTTCAAAAGAAAAAATGAAGTATGACATCTATATGAAGCCGTAATTGCGCAACAATTATTGTTGTATCAGACAAAACAACCGCTAGGAACCAAAGAGAGTAGTTCTTTTATTTGATGGCGGCCTTTTTTGCCAATACCTAATCTAAGAATTGGTTTTTTGCGTGTCCAAAATGCAACCACAAAAGCATGCAGAAGATAGCACTTACGGCTATTTTGCCTCACATGCAAATGAAAAATACCCATTTTATAAAGTTAAAATAAAATGCGTGAATTTTATACTATCCTAACGATTTTTGAGAGCTTTTTGGATGATTGATGTTAATTTGACAAAGAATGGAGGTTTTTTTTTTTTTTCCAATAAAAATTTCCGCTCAGACACTTCTGAGCTCATTTTTTCAATGTATCCGTTTTGCTTTTATGGCTCTCTTCACTATTCTAACAGTAATACACCGATCCTGATTTCAGGGCAATATGGATGTGACGTTTGCTGATGAGTGACTCGCCGTGCCGGCCAGAGAGCGTTGGCGGCGCAAAAAGACGAAGTACCTGGCCAGAAGGTACCGGATGGTCGCCGAGCTCATTCTGGCAATGTTGCCTAGTCTTCCGTTAATTTAACGGAGAAGATCGCAGATTTGGCAACGCTTGGCCGAGCATGGTAGCGAAAAGCAGCCACTCTCGCTACCTCAAAGACGGACTTATGCTCTTTCTGTTTCCGCTCCATTTTATCCTGACATCCGTTTTCATTGCTCAAGGTAAGCTACTTATTCCGATTCCTTAGTTCTATTTCCTTCCCCCGCCGCACGCCGCACCATGGAGCGAACCTTTGGGAAGAGTCGGACATTAAATTTTTTGTAGACCTGCAAATTTTGAAGTTTATTTCTTCACATTGGATATTTTAAGATGTGTTTATAGTAAGAAATTTTACCAAGAAAAATGGAGTCACGCTAAAACATCTCCGTTTCATATTAACGTAGAAACTAGTTTAGGAATTTCCCACATCATGTCCGATCATTCCCACTGATTTCCGTATGAACCCTAGAAAGCTTGGATTTAGATGTAAAACAGGGCTTAGGTGGGAATTATGATACGTCCTTACGCCGAAGGGGTGGCGACTTTTTTCATTGTGCGACGTCATCGTGGCTGTTAGCTCTGTCGTTTTTGGTACCATATCGACGGTGAAACTACCAAACCACGTATCTCGTTTGCGGTGTTTAAAAATCTACGCTCACATTTTATTTTTTTGAAGTACACCAAATCAATATCATTTCTTGAAATTTTCACGGAATTTTCTCCGCTCAAAGAGGAAAAATCACAGAAATTTTCAAGACTAGATGTTAATTAGTTTTTCATTTAAAAAATAAAGTATGACAGGAAGTCTGCGACGTCGCAAACCGAGATACGTGGTTTGGTAGTTTCACCGTCGATATCGTTGTTCCGCTGGTGTGGAACTGCAAATCCCCTTCTAGGTGAGCCCAGACAGTAATTTTAACTTCATGATTCTCGGGGCTCATGTCAAAACAGATTCACCTCTTTGTTCGGATGCAAAATTGGCCATGAGGTAAGCTTCTCGAGGTAATTCTCTCGTAGACCATCAACATCGTCTCGGCCTTTTGAAAGTTAGGTTGTGGCTTTCACCGAACAAAAGTGAAGTTGATACGAGTATAACATTCTGGATGTCAAAAAAATGTGCGAGAACTTATATGATGCAGGATTACTCGCTATAGCAGTTACTTTAGCAATGCAAGGATGTAAAATTAACTGATTTGGCGGTTAATCCAGCATTTTATAAGTTTTTAATTGAGCTTCTAGTTCTAATGATTCCTACCCGCCTAATGTTGTTCAAAGCGTCAACAACATGCAACAACTGAGCCCAAGCACGGAAATCGAGGTTTCCATATTTTCATATTCCAAAGACTGCAACGGTGACATTCAGAGCGCGTTTGATTCCCGTAGACTTTCGGTTTTTTAAATACGCGAATGGTTTAAATTTACGCGTCCAGATACCTTAAATAACAGATAGGCGTGAGTCTCAGCAATTTCGTTGCGCAAATCATCTTCTGCGTAAAATTTCGGTTATGAAAGATGTATCAGAATGCTTAAATTCATAACTTGTCTCCTGGTCCATTCGCGTTTTCTATTTCAAACAAGCCAGTTTCCGGGATACCACTATTCGAGCTCCGGTGCGTTGCGGAGTATCATCTTTATTTGAAGGCGTTTTGAATTCGAGACTAAAACGGCGTTTTTCCTCGTCACAGCTTCATAGCAACCGTGACACACGATTTTGTCACGGACACACGATTGTGTCACGGACACAAGATTGTTTCACGGTTGCGTAACGAGGGACAGGAATATTTTTTCATGTAAATCGAAATTCTCTCTGTCAGAAAAAGAAACCCCATGGTTGGTCCATCATTTTCCCTCTTAGCCCTTAATAATCACCCGCCTTAACCAAAGAGATCACTCCATTTTCCATTAGTATTAATTGTCTTTCGGCCCGTCTATTAATTTCAATAATCAGCCCTCTATAAGTGCGGGAATGGAGTTTTCAGATATATATCTATATTATTTATTCCACAAATTACTAAAGTTCAAAAACTTAATACAGAAAAACTGGTAATATCCGAGAGAAAAATGTAACCGATCAAATGCCCCGCTCTTGGTAAATTTGTCAAAGATCCTCCAAGAGACCCCAAGAATTTCTGCGGAGGGTCCAAAATAGACGAATGGAGAATTTGTACGCCAATTTTTTATTATTTCATCTGAAAATGAGCTCAAAGAGCTGATTTTACATTTTTTTATATACTTTTTTTCTGATTTGGAAAATAGTATAAAAATAGATTTTAAAAGTGAGAAAATGCACCGCCACTGGCGTCATCTGGCGGCATTGCCCATTTAAACCACGTATTTTAGCAGATTGGATCATTTTGACATCTTCTCCACTAATTGTTCGATTCATGAGCCAAGGGTATCTTCGTGTTCAGTTCACTCAGTAGTTTCCACTTAAACACGAAATTCATCTAATTTTAGACACCTGCAAATTCTCCATTAGGTTGTCCTCGGCAATTATGTAGAGCTACGATGGATTTAGGCCCATGTTAATTTGCTCGAGGGTAGGGGAAGAACAGGCCCCAGGTATGTTGCTTCAGGCACGCCACGTAAACACCACAATATTCGCCGCAGGATGTGGCAACGGCGATGCGTGTGGCAATAGCTGGATTCCTTATCGGATAATAATAAATTTCCATGCGCGAGCATTTACAGGCCCATAATAACTCGGCAACGAAAGGAAAGAATCGTTTCCGTTGGCCCTCCACCCCTATTTGCAGTGGCCGTAATCTTCGACCCTTGCAAGACTCTTTCATATGCTCCGAGCTGCGATGCAGGTGGACCGGACCCGGGCGGCATCAGGGATGATCCTTTGGTCGCCCCGGCCGCGCCAATAGACGATCATATTTTACCGGACGCTCGTCATTTATCAGACGGAAATCGATTGCATCAAATTAAATGTCCCTCTTCGTCCGGCGATGCTGCCCCAAGATCCTGCTTTGATAAGGGATGCCCGTCCCGGGACAACCGTCCACTTGAGGTGGCGTCATCTTGTTTATTCCCCGGCTCGTTGCCAGCTCCACCATCCTTTACGTTCCTATTTCATGTGTGGTGGTCGCATTTCCGGTGCTTGTATTTCCGGTGCTCGTATTTCTGGTGTTCGTGGTTGCTAGTACCAGTGAAGTTGTTTCCGGAAGCGCATCTGGCATTGTTATTTCCGGTCCCTTCGCCTACGTCACGTGTGCAGACTTACCGTTAGTGTTCCCTGTACGATGTTTCCTATGAGGACGTTTCCGGTACCAGTTTTGGCATATCCGGTGTCTCTATTGCCGTCACGCATGCCATTTCGTCGTCTTTTAGACCATTATTTTTGGCATTGTCTACTATTTGGTACTCACATTTCCGGTACTTGTTCCGCTGCTGTTTCCCCTCACATTTTCGGCCCTAACTTAAGGATAGTTTCCGGTTTAGTCGCTTACAGTGCCACCTCTGATACCGTCATTTCCGGTTTCTTTCTTTCCGTCACGTCCTTTGACCCACCTTCTATCTACACGACTATCATTTGGACTTATTTCCGCAAAACGAAACTATGTGCATTATGATGTGAGCCCTATTATGTAAATACCCTTATGGGTCTCAGGGCTCATGTCTCAATGCACATAGTTCCATTTGGCAGAAATACGTCTATTGCCGATACATTCTTTCCAGATATTACCATCTCCTGCACTGTCATCAATGGCAATATCATTTTTGTGCTATCATTCCGCGTACTGTCCCTGTATCATCATTTGCAGCTTCATTTTATCTTTTATCATTATTTTTGCACTATCATTTCTTTCACTTTCATTTACAAAACTGATCTGGTACTTCCACTTTTGTCATGCTCAAGGACGCACTGCCCACTCGACCATTGCTTCCGTTATTTTCATTTCAAATACACCTTTTCCTGCATTAGCATTCTAATTTCCATGTCCGGTGCCTTTATCACCCCAGTGGAAGTCGACCTTGTGCGCCAGGAGATGAACGTCCCGTCACCTCCAGTCACTTCCAGTCACCTTCAGTCACCTCCAGTCACCTCCAGTCACCTTCAGTCACCTTTAGTCACCTCCAGTCACCTCCATTTACCTCGAGTGATCGCCTGTGAAGGATGGGATTTCCGAAATCATGCCTTTGTTTCGCTTCCCTCTGCACGGGCTCACGCGAGGTGACTGGAGGCGACTGGAGGCGACTGGAGGCGACTGGAGGCGACTGGAGGCGACTGGAGGCGACTGGAGGCGACTGGAGGCGACTGGAGGCGACTGGAGGTGACTGGAGGAAACGGGAGGTGACGGGACGTCCACCTCCTGCCGCATGAGGTCGACTTCGACTAGAGCAACGTCATGCGCCCTGATCACACGATTCATGTACTCGATAATACATGAAGGGCACTCTAGCCTTCCTTAAATATTTATTGAACCACTAAATATTGACGAAAAAGCCTCATGGCTTTGGAATATTGAAGCGTATATTGATCGTGCAACTAGAGAACCTGTCGATTCACTTTCCAGTTGACCATCATGTTCGTCTGTGCTACATTTTCAAGGCTCGCCACTTCCTGAATCATCATTTCCGGTACTTATATTACGCGAAAAATTTAAAGGAATAATTTTACCAGAGAGGGCACCAAAACTGATAATACTGGAAACTGTACTGCCGTGCTAAGGAGGAACGCCGTATGAACATTTGAGAGTTGCCAAATTTCCTTTGATGACATTTTTATTTTTGAGGATAATCATGAATATTTTTCCTTGAAATTTTTAGGAACATTAGAGCAAAATACAAACAAAATTCTCTAAAAAATTGGAAAAAAAATATTCATACGTTTACCAGGAAATTCGTGTTCTATAAAAGGAAATTTGGCAACGCCTGAAGGTTCATACGGCGTTTTTCCTTAGGAAGGCAGAGTAGTCGTCTGGGCACCAAGACGGGGTGCAGGCCGGAAATGATCCTATGTAGGAAATGGAACCGGAAATGATATTACCAAAAGTGGCACCAAAAACACGATGTCGGAAACCCAAATGCTCATCATTTCTTGAACGGATATTTCCGGTATCAGTCACGTTGGTGCGATTTCCTGTAATGTCATGTCATGGAGTATTGCTCCCAATGTGTTTCCGTCGTCTCTTTTTTCCTAATTGTTGCTTGCTTTTGAGCTTTTGAACACCAT